CCCCAAAACCCCAAAACCCCAAAACCCCAAAACCCCAAAACCCCGTATAACAAATTCATCATTGAAATGGGGTAAAGTTGTCCGGTGGCATCCCTCACCGACCGGAGGATGTCTTTGAATCTAAGATTTAGGCCCTCAGAGCTTCCTTTGGCTTGCCAAAAGCTTTGCTTGATCTTTTCTGAGAATTTCTAGTGCAAAAATATTGAATTTTCTTGTCAGACATTCTTGATCATCATACAGAAAGAAACGGATGACGATCGGGGCTTTCGACATCCTCATGATATAGATCTGAGTTTCACCGATTAGTTAGCTAAGCTTGTCTAAAATACCTTGGAATATATTTTATTTAATTTTGTTTGAGGTTTAGAGAGTTCACCTATGAAAGAGTGATCGAAATTTCAGTAGAAAATTTCGTCATCATACTAATAATATAAAACGAGAACAGCTATAAGTCGCCTTGAAGAGTACTCATGTCCTTCAAGGCTATCTTAATAAACCCTTGGCACCCCAATCTTCTTAGTTAGACTCTTAGGTATAAAGTTCTCTCAACGGCATAATTGCCTAAAATCGGACGCTTTCCAGAAAACTTGGATGTTTTTTGAAAAATTTCAGTAGATATCGTTTTTCGTTCCCGGAAAACCAGATCTGACTTCAGTATTCCAAAGCGAGAAGGCTCAGACCCCTCTAATTAGGTGATTTTAAGGACTTTCATATGCTAAGAAAGCCTTTGAAAAATTAGCTTTTTAAATTAATTGATATAAATTTGTGAATAGTTAAATTTGAAACCAGAATGCGGGGAATTTATCTTGTCATGAAATTGCAAGATTGACTAGCGCAAACCGAAAGAGCGCAAAGATACAAGCTAATCCTTTCCCAAGGTAAAGAGATATATATTTTTGAATTTTATTATCGATAAGTTAGGTTACAAGGATGAAAGATCTGGGTGAAATCGGTCCAGAAGTCACTTCATCATACTTTGCTTGCATCCATGCTTCTGTGAGGGAATCCCTACAGAAGTCTGCATAGCTTGTTATTGATTTACTCAATATCGTTGGCAGGCATGGAGTTCATCATTCCATTCTCATTAAGTCCTTCAGAGTAAGTTTCCATCTGTTGAGGAAAGAATGGGTAGAGTGATCCGTTTTCATTAACAGAATCGTGAGTTTCCTCCTCGTTTTTAAAGAACTTTATATCTCTAAGAGAGGTCTCAGTCGAGTTAGCGATAGCGATGTTGCTTCCCATATGAAAGTAATGAATAGAAAATAAATTTATTATAAAGATTCCCTCTCTGGAGCTTTTATGGGGTTTTGGGGTTTTGGGGTTTTGGGGTTTTGGGGTTTTGGGGTTTTGGGG